GAGACAGAAGTTACAGTGAGCCAAAATTGTGCCACTGCACTCCAGCCTGAGTGACAGAGTGAGACTCTGTCTCCAAAAAAAGAAAAGTTCATGAGACTGGATTCTTTCATGTGCCCTCACAGCCCTAAAACACCTGGACTTCTCTAGCAAATCATTTGCAGGAACTGCTTTAACTGCTTTAAGCAAAATGTTTCTCCTAAGATGTCTAATATTTTTAAATGGCTTTTTTGTTTTTTGTTTTTTTTTGGCTTCCTTGTTCCAAGGTTAGACAGAAAAAATGTAGCAAGTATTGGCCATTTTAGACACAACACAGATTTCTCCTATATTTGGAGAGTTAAATCAAGAGTGTGCGGATTCATTTTCAGTTGGAGCCATATGCAAGAACTGCTTTGCTCTGGACTTTCTCTGTCTGTGCATTATCTGATATGTAGCTTTATACCACTGGGACATAGTTGCTGCACAAAGAGAAGACAGCTGGCCTGCCCTGAGAGCGGAGTCCCACGAGTTACAAGAGAATCAAAGAACAAACCAATGTTGTCAGGGTTACACCTTCGTTTCCTCTGTTCTTCTTTGTTTAAAATATTATCAGAGCTGCCAGGCACAGTGCCTCATGCCTGTAATCTCGGATACTCAGGAGGCTGAGGTGGAAGGATCGCTCAAGGCCAGGAGTTCAGCACTAGCTTGGGCAAAATAGTGAGATTCCATCTAAAAGAAAATCCTCTATCAGTAATTAAAAAAAAAAATTGACTGGGCATGGTGGCATATACTTGTAGTTCCAATTGTTTGGGCGGCTGAGGTGGGAGGATAACTTGAGTCCAGGGGTTGCAGGCTGCAGTGAGCTGTGATGGCACCACTGCACTCCAGCCCGGGTGGCAGAGCAAGACCCCATCTCTCTTTAGAAAAAGTTATCAGTAGCTCAAATTTCATTAGCTACTTTGCGAAGGTGTGTTGATTCTGCCATGAAAGATTTTCTCTGAGAGTCCTATCTGTCTGGCAGCTGGGGAATAAGTCACCTTATATTGATCTTAAGAGTGTGGAAGGCCGGGCGCGGTGGCTCAAGCCTGTAATCCCAGCACTTTGGGAGGCCGAGACGGGCGGATCACGAGGTCAGGAGATCGAGACCATCCTGGCTAA